AATTTGTTATAGAAGTGGAGTTTTAACATCAGATGCTCAGCTTCCTGTCAGTAAGCATTTATAAAGAGGCTTCTGTAGGGCAACAGTTTCAACTGCGTAGGTGTACGGTATAACTACCTAGGTTGAGACTCATTCCTCTGTAATTATACCTAGCAAAAGCATGCAGGGATGGGAATGGTATACACTACCTACCCAATTAAAGTATTGCTGTTGCTGTTAAGAAAATGACAGCAAATTCTATGCTAGCAGCAATTCCTATAGGAACTTTTTAAATCAGCAAAAAGTGTTCTTAAAGAATAGCTTATTGTTAACTACTTCATTAGATGTAAATGACAGCTGTCAGCAGAAGCTGTGATTTAATTATAGCACACAAGAGTATACAATTCCAGTTTAAATACTTCTCTAAACTGCTTTATTTAGGAAATTCCCTACAAGATAACACTGAGATGATTCCCCAACCAGCAATATTTAGCATGCACTTACATCTTCAAAACACTAATATTGAGGACCTGCAAATGGTATTTTTAAAATGTTTTGAAAACGTAAAGCATTAAATTGATGGTGGTGCGTTATCCAAGGACATTAAGTATCTAATCTTGAAAGCCCTATAAAGTAAGAAAGTAATATTGCCACGTCTCTGATGACAAAACTAACAGTTTTGGAAGTTCCTGATTTGCAGGCCTGCAAACACAATAGCTAACTAATAATACAGAGGGGTACAACTGTAATAATTAAGGTGCAGTTAATTTCTGGGATTGTATTGTGATTTTTCTGTTCTAAATTAAAGCAGTAAAATTCAACTACTATCCCAAGTCATAGGGTTTAGCTATATTGCCATTAAAAACCTGCAGCTGAACCTGTGCCAGCTGACTTGGGCTAAGGGTCTGTTTAATTGCTGTGTTTCAGAGTAACAGCCGTGTTAGTCTGTATTCGCAAAAAGAAAAGGAGTACTTGTGGCACCTTAGAGACTAACCAATTTATTTGAGCATGAGCTTTCATGAGCTACAGCTCACTTCATCGGATGCATACCGTGGAAACTGCAGCAGACTTTATATATACACAGAGAATATGAAACAATACCTCCTCCCACTGTATATATAAAGTCTGCTGCAGTTTCCACGGTATGCATCCGATGAAGTGAGCTGTAGCTCACGAAAGCTCATGCTCAAATAAATTGGTTAGTCTCTAAGGTGCCACAAGTACTCCTTTTCTTTTAATTGCTGTGTAGATGTTCGGGCTTGGGCTGCAGCCCAAGTTCAGGGACTTTCCCAACTCACAGGATCATAGTGCCCGTGCCTGAATGTCTACAATTAAATAGCCCTTTTGCCTGAGCCCGTGTCAGCTGGCACGAGCCAGCCCCGGGTGTCTAATTGCAGTGTAGGCATACCCATAGAGTTTAAGGCCAGAAGAAACTACCAGATCATCTAATCTGATCTTCTGTATATAATGGCCACTGCTACACATTAAACCTAACAGCCAAAATTAGGCCAAAGTATTACAGCCCACAGGAGATTCAGCTGCAGACAGTGAATAGAAGTGACTGAGTCCTTGCGTATATAAAATCTATTTATTATAAGATTGTATGTAGAACTTAAAGAAAATTGGTGTTACACTTTGCATGATTGCATACAAAACATGATAAACAAATTATCATATCCTTTCTCATCAGCCAGATGTTAAATCTTCTACCTGTTGGTTTATTTATAGCACTGAATACAAATCTTCTTAATATATATAGATAAATTTCACTACTTCTTTTCTTCTGCAATGTTTTTCTCCGTATTATCTTCCTTGGAGTATGTTGCTAATTTTTCCTGTAGTTGGGGTGTAGTTTAAAAAAAAATAATTATTATTACTGTTTGATGCAGGTATTAGTGGCCCTAGTTGAATTCAGTCATAACATTAACACTACTTCTCAATTATAGTGTGTGCCATAGATCATCATTTTGGATTAAACTGTTAATATTTTACTTTTAAAAATAAAAAATAAACACTAACTTTCATAAACTAGATTGTGACTAGCAATGGGAACCTGCTTGAGGCAAATAAATAATAAGGGAACAAAAAGTATTATGCTACAGTTCTTTAAATGAAGCACTAACCTATTATACAGAAAAGTGTTAATTGTTTTTGTTAATTGTTTACACCTTGCAGTAAAACTGTCTATACTTTTCTAGGTGAGACCTGATAATTAGTTTTAAACCTAAAACCAGAAATCTCTAATTTTCAAAAAACTGCCAACGCTAAAACTTGAACATCTATGGCTAGAAAATACTGAAATGATCACATTCTTTAAATTTGTTTGAAAGTTGCCCAACAAGGCTTGAAATATTCACATTCCAGCCAGAAGCTTTAAAAAAAAAAAAAATTCCCTCGCTACTGGAGAAAGGGTAGTGTGCTGAGATACCTACCTTAGGCCCTGCTTGAGGGTTCCATCTTTTATTTCTGCCTCTAGTTGGTATCTGACCCTTGAAAATCTTTCCAGAGCTTTCTTACCATTGCAGGGGGTGGGAGGTCCTCTGCCACCTTACCTCTCAGCTTTCTGGAATTTGTCTTTTTGAATAGTTCTGTTACCTCTTCAGCTGATCATATGTTTTAGACTCCCATACTCATAAGAGAAAGCTTCTGTTTCAACACAGCAGGAGACTTTAAATCATTGAGTTGAAGAGCCATAAAAATATCCCAGTATCGCAGGGTGCTTATCCCCAGAATGCTAATGCTTCAGAGGTGGGCATTAAAGCAGAAGTGAAGTTAAGAGCCCGAAGTTGCATAAAACTACACACAACTGGGAGTTCTAATTTAGTCTATAACTACTGAGTAACATTGCAAGATTTACTTACTCAGATATTCTCAACACTTTGTTTGGCAGAAATCATCTGAAAGCCACATACTTGATGTTAGTTGAGACCTCAGACGGGTTACTTGATGAAATCGGTTCCGAGGCATTGGCATCTGGTATATATACATCCCCAACAGCTGTAATTCAAAACATTGACTCCATAGCCACTGCTGATATTGTGAATGTAAGTAAATGTGTCCATATACATTGTTTACAGAATGATTCCATATAAGCTTTGCTATGCACAATTATGACTAGCATACTCTTCTGGGTGTATAGAATATGTATACAGGGACCCTGTAAAAAGTGGTTCTATGATGCTTACAAATCTCTGCTGGCTATGCCTTTTCAGTTGTCTGCTTAGTTTACTGATGGGAACAATCTTTAATATTGTATATGGCAAAGTCAATATAGCTGTGAGAATTTAGCTGAATTCTACCATTACAAGTAAACATAGGAAAAATTCCAGCTATTTACCTAATCATACAAAACTACAGTCAGGAGATGTCCCACTGATGTCAGTAGGGAATCCTCCACCTGAGTAAGGTTATGGAGGATTCAACCCTAGGGTGTGATTGTAAGAAGCAAAATGAATACCTCACAGGATTTTATTGAGACGCTGTGCTAGTGGTAATAACAATTATTATAATCTTGGTTTCTGAACTGAACAAATTCCATCTGGAAATCTAGTGGGGAAAACAAATCTAGAACATCAAAATCTCTTCACAAAGCTGCTATTACTCATTTGAATGACAGTAGTACCTAGAGGCTCCATTGCGCTCAGCACTGTATAAACCTATCGTAAGAGATGGTCTCTACCCCAAAGAGCTTATAATATAAATAGACAAGACAGACAAAAGGTGGGAGGGACATAGAGTTCATAGAGCAGCGAAGTGACTTGCTCAGGTTACACAGGAGGTCACTGGTCAAACTGGGAATAGAACCTAGGTTTCCTGACTCTACCTTCAGTGATTGATACACTCGACCTTTCTGCTGCTTTTCTGACCCAAATAGAAAATATTTTCTACGTTAGGCATATGTATGACCACTTCAGAGAGCTGGGAAAAGTTGCTACTTTTCTACATTCTTCAGGCTGATATCATTAATCTGTCAAACTGAGACAGTTTAGACAGCTTATTAAAAATCATCGCCATAAGAAATATTACATTGCTGATTCCATAAATCAGTTGAAGCTGGGACTCTGAAGCAATGAGATAAGCTTGTTCAGTGTGCCTAATGGATGTTTCCTTAATGTCCAATTTTTATTTATTTCTTTTCAGGCTGCAAAGAAGTTTGTTGATGGGAAGAAATCAATGGCAGCTAGCGGGAACTTGGGAAATACCCCTTTTGTTGATGAGTTGTAGTAGGAAAAAAAACTGAGGCAGATTCAAACTGGACTCTTCACTGTATGCCAATGACATTATACATAAGTTACAATCAGCCTGTTTAGATTAATATTCTGACATTTGAATTAATAGATAATTAACTTGTGGGCTTGCATATATTGAATAAATTGCTACGTTCATATGCTTCGTTTTTGTTAATATTTATCTACTGAAAGTAAGGTATGTATAAGTATGGAAACATTGAACATTATCAATTAAAAATACTTAAATATAGTGAAACAATTAGTTGGCATTTTGGTGTGTGCCTTGCAAAAACTACCAGAGAATAATAGTAGTCTAACTACATTCTTGATGCAGGTAAAATTTGTAATTGCCACAGTTAATATCCCAGTTATATATCCTTAACACATTCAAGAATACTTGTTGGTAAAATTGCCATTTGCACCATATCTACCTGAAGTAAATTATCAGACTTACCTGTAAAAGCTGAAAGCAATATACTGCAGTTCTAGCACTTGCCTGCTGTACCTTGATCACTGGACTCAACGAAGCAGAATGTTTAATGTTCCCTTCATGGGTAGGATTGATGGAGACTTTAGCAGGTTTTTGCTTAAGATCTGGAAGAGTGGCTTTGGATAGCAGCTCTCATCTGAGAATCCAGATTTTTCAAATATCCTAGGCAGTCAAGGCATGCTATGCTAAATCTTCAGTTTAGCTAATTTCAAAATCAATATTTTGAAAGTGAACCTTTTGCTGATAAAGTGTTTCAGAAAAATCCAGTTTCTGAAGGCTTGAAATTGGATGTGACCATTTAGTTATTCCAAAATACTGGCAAACTCTTCAAGCCAAAATGCATCTGATATAGAGGAAGAGGATGATGTTGACTCGCTGTCATGTGTTTCCATAGTCCAGTATGAAAGAGATCTAATACCATCAGTAGCAAAGTCAGAACTATACCATGCATCAAAATCTTTATGAATTATAATGTCACATCCAATGTCAGCACCTACAGTAAATGTGTGTTTTTTTCTTTTAAATGCATGCCAAGTTTTCGATATTGATGGCAATTCTTTGGTAGAACAAAATGATTGTGTAGTTTCATATATAAGACTTCTGTCAGAGTCTGCATCTTCATAATCATCACTACTTGTCCACGTGTCGTCTTTTGTCTCACTGTCTTTACTTGAAATGCTAAAAATGTACAACAGTTACATAGCTTTAATTACAAGTTCTTTACTTGTGATTAGGGTGTCAAAATTGAAATCAGATTTGTGCAATTTTTTTTGTGTATTCTTCTGCTTGGACTTAACGTAATGCTACAACATCTGGGTTTTAAACAACAAAAGGGAGTGTCAATTTAAATATCTTTTTTCAGTAAAATAAAAACAAAGCTATCCTTACCTGTTCATTTAGAATATTAAAGAATTTGACTCGACAGCCCTAATTGCAACTAAGTCAGTAAGGGATTAATCTGTTTAATTGTGTGATTAAACAATAATAGAATACCATTTATTTAAATTTTTTGATGCTTTCTACATTTTCAAATATTGATTTCAATTACAACACAGAATACAAAGTGTACAGTGCTCACTTTATATTTTTATTACAAATATTTGCAGTTCACCTAATACAAGTACTATAGTGCAATCACTTTATCATGAAAGTTGAACTTACAAATGTAGAATTATGTACAAAATAACTGCATTCAAAAATAAAACAATGTAAAATATTAGAGCCTACAAGTCCACTCAGTCCTACTTCTTGTTCAGCCAGTTACTCAGACAAACAAGTTTGGTTACAATTTTCAGGAGATAATGCTACCCACGTCTTGTTTACAAGGGAAGTGAGAAAAGACGTTTGAATGGAATGTTTGTAGCTGGTGTCACAAGATATTTATTTACATGCCAGAGGTGATAAAGATTCATATGTCCCTTCAGGCTTCAATCACCATTCCAGAGGACATGCATCCATGCTGATAAGTTCTGCTCGATAACTATCCATAGCAGAGCGGACTGACACATGTTCATTTTCATCATCTGAGTCTGATGCCACCAGCAGAAGGTTGATTTTCTTTTTTGGTGGTTCGAGTTCTGTAGTTTCCGCATTGAAGTGTTGGTCTTTTAAGACTTCTGAAAGCATGCTCCACACCACGTCCCTCTGAGACTTTGGACAACACTTCAGATTCTTAAATGTTGAGTCGAGTGCTGTAGCTATTTTTAGAAATTTCACCTTGGTGTATATTTGCATTTTGTCAAATCGGCTGTGAAAGTGTTCTTAAAAAGAACATGTGCTGGGTCATCGTCAGAGACTACTATAACACTAAATATACAGTAGAATGTGGGTAAAATAGAGCAGGAGACATACAATTCTCCCCTAAGGAGACTTAAGTTACAAATTTAATTCACGCTGCCTTTTTTAAACGAGCATCAGCATGGAAGCATGTCCTCTGGAATGGTGGCTGAAGTATGAAGGGCCATACAAATGTTTAGCATATCTGACACGTAAATACCTTGCAATGCCAGCTACAAAAGTGCCATGCGAATACCTGTTCTTGCTTTCTGGTGACATTATAAACAAGAAGCGGGCAGCATTATTTTCCATAAATGTAAACAAACTTGTTTGTCTTAGCGATCAGCTGAACAAGAAGTAGGACTGAATGGACTTGTAGGCTCTAAAGTTTTATGTTGTTTTTGAGTGCAGTTATGTAACAAAGGACAGGGTGGGCCCGTTAGTCAATGAGAAGGGAAAGATAATAACAGAAAATGTGGAAATGGCAGAGGTGTTTAATGACTTCTTTGTTTTTGTTTTCTCTAAGAACGTTGGTGGTGAGTGGACATCTAACCTAGTGAATGCCAGTGAAAATGAGGTAGGATCAGAGTCTAAAATAGGGAAAGAACAAGTCAAAAATTACTTAGACAAGTTAGATGTCTTCAGATCACAAGGGCCTGATGAAATGCATCCTAGAATACTCAAGGAGTTGACTGAGGGGATATCTGAGCTGTCAGGGTTCCTTCCCCACTCTGAACTCTAGGGTACAGATGTGGGGACCTGCATGAAGGACCCCCCCCCCAAGCTTATTCGTACCAGCTTAGGTTAAGAACTTCCCCAAGGTACAAACTTTGCCTTGTCCTTGAACAGTATGCTGCCACCACCAAGCGTTTCAAATAAAGAACCGGGAAAGAGACCACCTGGAGATGTCTTCCTCCAAAATATCCCCCCAAGCCCTACACACCCCCTTTCCTGGGGAGGCTTGAGAATAATATCCTAACCAAGTAGTTAGAAAATCATCAAAGACCCAAACCCCTGGATCTTGGAACAATGGAAAAATCAGTCAGGTTCTTAAAAGGATTTTATTAAAAAAAAAAAAGGCAAAAATCATCTCCGTAAAATCAGGATGGAAAATACTGTACAGGGTATTCAGATTCAAAACACAGAGGATCCCCCTCTGGGCAAAACCTTAAAGTTACAGAAGAGAGGAATAAACCTCCCTCCTAACACAGGGAAAATTCACACAAAACAAAAGATAAACTAATCCGCCTTGCCTGGCTTACCCCTACTGGTTGCAATACTGGAGACTTCAATTAGGATGGGTTGGAGAAGATGGATTTCTGTCTGGCCTCTCTCAGTCCCAAGAGAGAACAACCATGTAAACAAAGAGCACAAACAAAAGCTTTCCCCCCCCAAGATTTGAAAGTATCTTGTCCCCTTATTAGTCCTTTGGGTCAGGTGCCAGCCAGGTTAGCTGAGCTTCTTAACCCTTTACCGGTAACAGGATGTTGCCTCTGGCCAGGAGGGATTTTATAGTGCTGTATACAGAATGTGGTTACCCTTCCCTTTATATTTAGGACATGAGCCATAAGCAATTATCTTTGGAAAGTCATGGCTTCTGGAATGTCTTCAGTCTTCCTGGAAAAGGGCAAATCTAGTTCCCATCTATAGAAAGGGAATAGGACAACCTGGGGAATTACAGACCAGTCAGCTTAACTTCTGTATCCAGAAAGATAATGGAGCAAATAATTAAGCAATCAATTTGCAAACACCTAGAAGATAATAAGGTGATAAATAACAGCAGGAATTTGTCAAAAACAGCCCTAGTTGCAATGCAAGTTTAAAGAACTAACCTTCCAGACAGTCCCCTTTCTAATTGCCTGAACTTCCTCCTTCATTCTTATCACTCTTGTGCCCTAATCAGGTGCTTTTGATGTTCCCATTCCCAGCTACCTTCTTCACTGTAAACTCCATCTTCTTTCCTGTTCCTGAGCTTTAGTCTTCCCTCCCTACTAGAACATCTGTCCCCATGCCTTAGAAAAACTTTTACTGCCTAGTGCCCCGTCTAGCATCGATTACTACTTGTCATAGTGAGGCTTATTTTTAGGAGATGAGAACTTATGACTTTTTTTTTAAAAAGGCCTCATAATACTTATCTTTGTAGAAACTGAGCATAACACTACACAGCTATGTAAACATTTCTGGAAAGGTCAATTAAGAGGTCATGAGGACTAAACATAGTAAGCCATGGCCTTATTGTTAATATGATTGAATGACTAGTGACCCATTAAACTGTTTATCTGGTTACAGGTCTCTGGTTACCTGTATCTTGGTAAAATCAGGTACATATAATAATCTATGTCCTTAACTATGTAAATAGGCATAGCTGCATTTAAGTCAAGGAAGCTAAACCAGCTTATACAAGATGAGGTGCTCTCCCAATGACAGTTGCCCTTTGAGGATGGGAAAAAGTCTGAAATTGAAATTTGGTGTTTTATCTTAGTACTTTTGAACAATGTCTAGGCAACAAACACTGGAAAACCTGTTGACTTTTCCAGGTAAGTAAGTTTCTGGGTAGCTGTACTACCTTCAAGATATTTCTAAGAGTAGGAGACAATTACATTGGAAAGAGGTACACTTTTAAAAGAACTCTACCTTTTATACTTGATTAGTAATGAAACTAAAACCAGAATGCTACCACGTCATTTCCCTGTCTTGCTCAGTAGACTAATATAACTAAACTATATATTGTGAAGAAACCCATTGAAAATAGCATTTGTTTCTTACTCTGTCTTCACAGGAGGCTTTACTTCAGGAACTAATTCAAGTGCATTTTGCCAGTGCTGAGGTACTTCAACAAAATCTCTGTAAACCCTGATCTGTAGAACTGATCCTATGGGAATATTGTGCAAAAGTTGCCAAAGCTCTCGCAGTGTCCATCCTAAAACGTTAGCGTGTCCAATTTTAATCAAAATATCACCTGCCAGGGGAAAAATTCAAGAGTGTTCAGTATAAAAATCCCAACTCTAGACAGTAACTCCTCACTTAAAGTCGTCCTAGTTAACCTTGTTTCATGGTTACGTTGCCAAGCAATTAAAAAACATGCTCGTTTAAAGTTGCGCAATGCTCCCTTATAACATTGTTTGGCAGCCACCTGCTTTGTCCACTGCTTGCAGAAAGAGCAGCCCGTTGGAGCTAGCTGGTGGAGGCTTGGAACCAGGGTGGACCAGCAGCCCCTTCATCAGCTCCCTACTCCCCTAAGTTCCCTGTAAGGCAGCTGCCCAGCAGGCTATCAATTGTCGGCCAGTTCAGGTGTCCCTCCCCCCACTGCTGTGTGCTGCTCCTGCTTGCTCCTGCCCCTGCCCTCTGCCTTGGATCTGCTCCCTGGAGCCTCCTGCTTGCTGTGCAGACGGAGGTTGGGGGGGGGGGGAAAGGGGTGCTAATGTCAGCATGTCCCCTTAACCCCTGCTCCTGCCCCCTGCTCCTTTACCCCATCTCCACAGAGCAGGGGGGGCACATGGCAGGGCTCAGGCCGGAGGGAGCTTTCTGGCAGCAGCTGCTGTCTCAACTAACTGATCTAATTAAAAAGGCAATGTACTTAGGGTCAGCGTACTTAAAGGGGCAATGTGCATCTCTCTCTGTCACATATACATGGTGTGTGTCTCTGTCTCTCTCTGCCATGCTGTTTCCCCTCCCTCCATTCATGCTGCCTTGTAGAGTGTGAGGCTATGTTAACAACAATGTGTTAACCCTTGAGGGATCAGCCAAGTGCTAATTCATCATTTAGCAGTAAGGCATTCCCTGGGAAATATCCCACCCTCTGATTTCACCACCTCAACCAAGCTTCACAGTCATCATTGCTGTGTACAGTATTAAATTGTTTAAAACTTATACGTGTGTACGTATATATATAGTCTTTTGTCTGGCGAAAAAAATTTCCCTGGAACCTAACCCCCCCCCATTTACATTTATTTTGATCAGGAAATTGGATTCATTTAACATTGTTTCACTTACTGAGGAGTTACTGTATATCTTTTATTCACAGACCATAATTTAAAATGGTTGCACGAATTTGATACCCCTGATTAAATAGTACCCTTATTCTCCTTTTGTCAAACTGTCCTAAGATATTTTCACTTTAGTTAAAAATGTTAACTATAATCAGGCTAGTAGTCAGATGACTAAAGAACTATTACATTTGTTCCAAGAGGCAGCATATGATGACAATCCTAATTTTATGGAGACATGAATTTATTGTTTTGAAAGTCTTATATCAAGACTTCTAACATGAAGAACAATTATTTGTTAAAAGCTGTCAGCTGTGAAAGCGCATCCAGTGTCCAGAAAGGAGAAATTTTAAGTACAGTAGAACCCTTTTATAGCAAAGTGTCATTTTCCCATTCCTGTGCACAAGCAAATGTTCATTATAATAGGAGAGGGGCTACCTTTATAAAAAAAAAAAATAAATAAAAATGCCCATTTCAACAGAGGACCTCTCTTCATGAACTTCAGTTATTGGGGTCCAAGAACCAGGAATAATAATGAAGTAAAATATCAAAAGAAGTTCACAAGGCATAAGGACCAGCAGAACTGGAGGCTGCCAAGTTCAGCCGCAGTAGTGGGGTTTCTGACATTTGCTCATCTGCTGCACCCTGGTTCTCTTACTATCCTCAGACATTAGGGTAGTAAGGGGGGGGGGGAGTGACTATGCCGAAACAACCAATTTTTTTCACTAAACCACTAGGCAATCCACCCTCTGCTGCCAAAAGAAGTATGGATAACCTAGTCTAGGGAAAACAGATGACCTAATACATGTCTTTTCCATTGTTAATTTTTATGACAACCTAAGCTGGGCTTTGAGTGATTCTTTTTTGTTCTTTAATCCTTTCCGATTGCTTTATATTAATTATTTTTATCATGTTTATAGATGCCTGTGTAAGAAAACTGCACATTACAATGCAGCTATGAAATATTAATATGAAACACGAGTAAGCAATTTGTTTTGGTCTTGAATACTTAAAGTAAGATGCATAACACATTGTTCCAATCCCGTTTATATTATATATATAAAAGTGTGTGCAATTTAGATATGCTTTTTTCTTGATCTAATTCAAAAATAGTCACCTCTGTCAGCCAATTTTAATCAAATTAAGACAATAGGAATTTTAATATAAAACTGGACTGGCTTAATTTATCAGTTGGATATTTCTGTGACATTGAGCCTGACTCTCATATTGCTTGAGCCAGTTCTATGCCTCTGTAATTCCACTGATTTAAGCAATATTACTCCTGATTTACATCAGCATAAATGAGGTCAAAAGCAGGGCAACAAAGTATAAACTCTGGAATGGAACACACCTATGGAATTCTGAAGATTAGGGTTATATTTTTTTTTTACCTGGTTTGAGTCTTCCATTCTTAGCTGCAGAGCCTTTCTGAACAAGACTTGTTATCTGGAGATATGGTCCATTCTGAATTACTATAAGACCTAATCCTTGTTCTCCCATCTTAATATTGGTCTTTAATGTAGCACTTAAAGTATGTTCAGAGATCTTTTCCAGTGCTGGAAACTGCCCTTTGGAAAGTGAGAGGGACATTTTACTACTTGAAATTATGATATTGTGATTTTCTTACTCCACCAAAACAAGCCCTAACTCAGCAAAGCAAGTAAGCAGGTACTTAAATTCATTTCATCAGCAAAGCACTTAAGTCCCACATGCTTAAAGTTCAACATACGCTTAAGTGCTTTTCTGAATAGGGATGGGCTGCTGAAGAGGTGCCAGAAAACACGCCTATGTAAAAGTTATGTTGTGTATTCCATAAATAATCTAAAAAGAAATATTTCTAAAATAGCTTTTTCTCAACACACTCAGAAGCCTGTTTCTAAAAGTTCACACACTGTATTGAGCAAAACAAACAAATATTGCTTACATTGTATATTACTTTAGAATAATTTTTTTAAATGGCTGTATGCATTCATGGAAGGAAGAGAACGAGGTAGAGAAATGACAGCATAGCGAGGCCACCAACTGTTAGAGCTTTCAAGAAAGCTGTAAATTCATATGAGAAAATTAATTTCCTGTGTCAATATTTTTGGATAAGATTCATATCCAGATTTCCAGCAGATGGGTTTTACACACTGCTGCTTGCATGAAGGAAGGGACTGGTGCTTGGCAAATGTATTTAATTTCTTTAGGTGCTATACTGTGAGCATTCACTGTTCATTAAAATGCATAATATAGATAGTACACAATAAAGGACCGCTCATTCTAACTTGACTCCACCAGCAAATATAATGCAGATCACAAAATGAACCCTCCACCCTCAGCTTGCCTCTGGACCAAAAGCCTGGAAAATGATGAGATTGCCGCAAAAGCATTTTAAAACAAGCTTTCTTGTGTTAAAACTGATTTATCTGCCGTACCCTGTTTTAAGAAAATGTAAACTTTGGGCTGCTATGGCAGTGTAGCTGAAATACTACTCCTAATTTAAACTTACACAGCACTTTCCCTCCAATGATTTGAAAGCACTTTATAAAGATTACCACCATATTACAGATGGAGGAGGGTAAAGCACAGAAAGATAAAAGGCATAACTTAAAATCCACTGAAGTCAATATTCTTATGTGGTTTGTGATCAGGCCCAAAAGGTATGTCTACGCCTCAGCTGGGAGAGTGCTTCCCAGCCTGGGCAGACAGACTTGCACTAGCTCCGCTCCAGCTAGGACTCTAAAATTAATGTGGATGTTGCAGCACAGACTAGCTGTTCAAATATGAGTCCACCCAGCTCCGAGCTCAGGTGACTAACCTGTGCCGCCACCCATGCCACGATGTCCACACTGCCATTTTAGTGCGCTATTTCAAACGGAACTAGCTTATGTCTGTCTGCTCATGCAGGGAGACGTACTCCCAGCTAGTGTGAACATACTCCTAAGTGATTTGCCCCAAATCACGTAGAAAGTCTGTACTATAATGAGGATTAGAATCCAAGTTCCTGATTTCTGGCCCTGTATTCACTACACTAGATCACCCTGCAGCACATGACAGGAAGAATAAAAGCATAAAATAAGAGAGGGCCTGACCAAAGCCCATTGAAATGAATGGAAAGACCTCCCCATTGACTCCAATGGGCTTTGGATCATGCTCTTGATTCTATCCTCACCTGATATTGGTCCATTTCCATAATCTCCAGCGAAAGTGTCTGGATGACTTTTTTGTTCTGTAAGGAGAGAGAATCGGAAACTTTACAAACCTTATCCTGAAGCACCCCTACATTTCTCATAAAGCTCTTCAGGGCCAATCCTAAATTCTGCAGGTCTTCTGAATGAAGTAATATCCAGCTCTCTTCCCCTGAAATGACATTCTCTCCTCTGGCCATCTGCCCTGTATCCCACTCCAGATCTTATGAGAATGCAGCATGTATCAAAATACCCAACCCTCCAAAAGAAGAGGTGTCTCTGGATGCTGAGAAGTGGGGTGACAAAGGTCTAGAAAGGAGACAAGTAATCTGGTCTTAGGTATAGTGGTAACAAGAGGATGCCCAAAGCTTGGAGCCCCTTCAAATGCAGAGTTTGGGGCTTTTCCTGAAGTACTGGGGTGATGGTGGGAAGATGGAAGAACAGGAAAGGAGGCAACAGGTTGGGAGGGAATTAAAACTCATTCTGGTTTCATTCTCACCTGCTTGTGTACCAGAAGCTTCTGCCCCTTCCATGGATCCCAGACTATAAGAGAAAATCAAATGGACAAATGTCTCAGGCGAGTCTCTTTGAAAGCAGCTGTCTCCCCATGGTGGCCTGTGGGGGAAGAACAGAGCAGCAGGTGAGGAGGAGTTTTCAAACACCCAGTAACTGTTTAGAATCCTAGGGCAGCCAGGTTCCGAGTCTCACACGGTACCCAGCTATGGGAAAACATAAAAGCCTCACAGTCAATAGACACACATACGCACTGGCCGGGACTCAAGCTTTCAATATTTCCTTGCTTGGTGACAGATGCGGGGGAAGTATTACATTTGGCTAGGTATGTGTTGCTGATTGCTATATTGGCTGGATTATTTCAGTCTAGCACAGCAGCTTTACCAATGGCTGCAGTTCAGACTCTCTTTCTAAATCTCCAATCCTGCCTAAACTCTTATGCACATATGACCCACACAGAGTGTCACTTCTGTACCACATTGTTGAATCCTCACATATTCTTGGGCATGTATTCTTCTTTCAATAATCATCAATTCAAAAATAATTGTCCTCTATGATAATTTGTGACCTAAAACAAGAGAGTATTGGGAAACAATTTATCTTAAAGATTGCCGAATCACATTGTTAATACATCATTTTAAATCCTTAGCTCTCCCATCTCTGCCACATACCAACTATCTCTACTCAGAAGGAACAATTTCAGGTTTTTTTCAACAAATATATTACTATTTTCAATCCCTTTAAAATATCTGTCCAGAGCAGGATGTTTCAACAGAAGCTGAAGATAGGTCCTATCCTCCTACCCTGGTCTGAAAAAAAACAAAACAGAAAACAAAACAAACAACCCCCTGCCCCCAATGTATTGCTTTTGAATGCCGTTTAGATGGTTTTTAGTAGTATCTTCTTTGTTATTGCTTGGGACCGCTCATCTGGCAAGTGACCTGACCACAGGTGATTGCTATTATTTTTTAGTTACACAGGAGATTCACATAATAGGCAACTGGATAACCACCTGCTTGGAGTTCATATGCCAGCTATACTTTGTATAGGCCAGGATTATGGCTTGTCTGTAAAGCTGGGTGGGTGTTTTAAGATAGGCATTGGCAGGAAGGGGTACTGCTGGTATTTTCAGCATTTTTAAAGCTACCTGTGGATTTGGGGGCTGCTAGACTTTAGAATTTACAATAGCAATAGTTGTACAACATTCTCACATAACTGGGAGCAAAACTAAGGCGCAGAGTTATAATTTTGATAACTGCTAGGAGAGCAGTATGACCAAGGGTGGGTTGAATGCTCAGTTGCTTCAAGCATTCTTTGTTACTTACTGGAAAAAGCATGTAATCAATAGACACTGTATTTGGATTAGTTTTCCAGATAAGGTTAATTAGATTTGCTTCCAGACACTTACTAATACAGATAATAATAATTAGCACTTTGATAGCGCTTTACATTTTCAAAGTGCTACAGAAACATGAATTAATCAATCCGGACAATGCCCCAATTTTTCTCCTTATTTTGCACATGTTGAAACTGTAACACTTTGAAATTAAGCAACTTTCCCAAGGTCACGAAGTGAGATAGTAGTTGAAACTTGAATTAGAACCCAAGAGAAAGGGTGGTGCTGTGATTAAGGCACTGGTCTGTGATTCAGCAGATCAGAGTTTGATATCTGACTCTTTTATAGCCTTCCTATATGACTTGAGCAAGTCACTTACTCTAGTCTCTCTGCACTTTGATTCCCCATGCATAAAATAGAGACAATATTTCTCTTATCTCATAAGGGTGTTGTGAGGATGTCTATTGATGTGAAGTGCTCACATACTACAGTAATGGAGGTCATATAGGTAGACAGACATATAGATTTCCTATCTCATGAGTCAGTAGTTGTGGTAGATTAGAGCTCAATCCGCCCTAGACCACACTTACTTCAGTTAAGAAGTACTTAACACTTTCAGGACACTGCACAGTGGAGCAAGCCAGGCAATGGTGCCTTGGTATTTACATATTTAGGATGCCTCCAATTCTTTGATCATTGGGTACCAATCTCCACAGCCAGCCTTAAAGGATTATGAGAGGCTCCCTGATGGGGGGGAGGAAAGGGGGCAATTGCCTAAGGGCCCAGGTGATTTAAAAGGACCCGGGGGCCTCGGCCACCGGCAGCATAATGGGGCTAAGGCAGGCTGCCTGCCCGCCCTCACTCTGTGCCGCTCCTGGAAGTGGTCAGAATGGAGCAGGGGATAGGGGGTCTCTGCGCGCTGCCCCCACCCGAGAGCTGACTGGGGGCCAGGAACTGCAGCCAATGGGAGGGGCAGGGGCGCTGCCCGCAGGCAGCGACACAGGGCCGCTGTCAAAGGCGTGTGCTGGTTGCTTTCAGGAGCCGCCCAAAGTAAGCGCCGACCCCCTGCCCCCCAACCCCCTGCCCCAGCCTGGAGACTGCACCCTGTAACCAAACTTCCTCCCAGAGCTCACACCCCAGACTCCCTCCCGCAACCAAACTCCCTCCCAGAGCCCATACCCCCCCTACACCCAAATTCCCTCCCAGAGTCTGCCCCCTACCCCTTCTCCCGCACCTCAGCCCCCTGCCCCAGCCTGGTGAGAGTGAGGGTGGGGGAGAGCAAGCAACATAGAATCATAGAATATCTGGGTTGGAAAGGACCTCAGGAGGTCATCTAGTCCAAACCCCTGCTCAAAGCAGGACCAATCCCCAATTTTTGCCCCAGATCCCTAAAATGGCCCCCTCAAGGATTGAACTCACAACCCTGGGTTTAGCAGGCCAATGCTCAAACCACTGAGCTATCCCTCCCCCCAAACAGAGGGAGGGGAGATGGAATGAGCAGGGGTGGGGCCTCAGAGAAGGGACAGGACAGGGAGGTGACCTCGGGGCGGGGCAGGGCAAGGGTCTTTGGGTTTGTGCAATTAGACAGTTGGCAACCCTACCGGGCAGGCATCTGCAAACCCTGGCCATGCCAGAAGAGCGTGCCCAGCACCAGCCAGCGCAGGCTCAGCACTGCCCAAGTGTCAGGTGGACTGTGGGGGCGGTTTGTGCATGCGTGGAGGCCCATTGACTGTTCTGCCCTGGGGCCCAGAATTGCTGTCGGCGGGCCTGGATTATGGGGTGCATTGCCTTCATTGCTGCAGCAAATGCCCCAGGCCCCCACCCCAAAGGGAGAAACTTGGCCCCTTCAGCAGGAGAGGCCTCCGCTCCCAAAACAGGAGGGAGTCTCCCCACCCCAAAATGAGAGACCTTCCCCCCAAAACAGAGAGTCTCCCCGCACAAATAAGAGCCCCACAAAAACCCTGAGGGATTTTCCCTCCCCAAATATGAGCCCCCTTCTAAGAAAGCCTCCTTCCACATGAGAACCCTCCCCTCACCAAAAATTCCTCCATTCCCCAGCCTGAATGGACTCTCCCAGCTCCTAGAGGGGGGTGGGGGAGGGGCAGGCTCCTAGGGATGACAGCACCTCCCTGCCCCAATACCATTAGAAACGCCTCCTCCCCCTTCTCCACTTCTGGCCTCCCCTTGGAGAAGCTCTGCCCCTCCCTTGATACCCGCCCCGCCCATTTTCAAAAGCCACGCCCACTACAACATCCGCCCCGCCCCTCCTCCCTAGAGAAGGCTTGTCTCGTCTCACGGGGTCCCCGCCCCGTCTCCGGGGAGGCTCCGCCCCCTCATGGAAGCCCTGCCCCGTCTGGGGAAAATGTGAAGGAGAGTGGGTTTCACTTCCGGAGCGCCCTGTTGCCCCCCCCTTCCCGCGGGCTCACTTCCTGTGTTGTCGGGAAAGGTGGGGGTCCCTGTTTTTGGTGCTGCTGCTGTTGCTGCCGCCTCCGCCGGAGAGAGGGTGGGAGTTGAGGTCTCATGGAGCCGCAGCTGTGAGGAGCCCCCGGCCCGGGCCCGCTGTGGGAGCCGGGCGGAGGCTGGACACGGGAGCCGCCGGAGCCGGAGGAGATGGACAAATTGACCATCATCTCAGGATGCCTCTTTCTGGCCGCCGACATCTTCGCCATCGCGAGCCTGGCGAACCCGGACTGGATCAACACCGGGGAGTCCGCGGGTGAGGGGCTGTGCGGGCCTGGAGCGGATCAACGGCGAGGGGTCTGGGTGCAGCCGGGTGGGGGGGCCGGAGTGGATCAAACCCAGGGCTCCGGGGGGTGGTGAGGGGGCCTGGACTGGGTAAGCAGCAGGTGAAGGGGACTGGGGGAGCTGGATCGCTTCTTACTGGGGAGTCTGTGGATGAGGGGGCTGGGGGACTTGGGCTGGAACTGGGAACCTGCGGCGGGAGGGGACGCAGGGCCACTTGGGGTGGGTCAGCACCACAGAGCCTATGGCTGAGGGGCTGGGAGGCGGCGGGCACAACCTGAATTGACACTAGGAACCTTTGGATGAGGAAGCTGCGGGACGGGGACTAAGTCACAGGGAGCAGTCAAGGTGGAGTTGAGGGGACCCTGCCTAAATGAACATGAGTGGGGAGTTCCCAGATGAAGGAGGCCGGTAGTTCTGAGTATTGGTGGAACCTGGACTAGATCAGCTTTGGGGAGTCTGAGATGAGAGGGGGTTGGACTGAGGTACTGCAGAGTCCGAGCGGAGATGGTGATACTCTAGCTGGTCGGGGCAGGATATATTCTGGTGGAAATCTGTAGGAGAAGAGCTCGAGGGACATGGGGCAGGTGAGTCTGGCCAACACTGGTCTGGATTAATGGGAGTAGTCTATGGATTGGGTGAGAGATTCTGTGAGAGGAGAATCTGCAGGTGAGAGATTCTAGGGCACTGTCTGGCCAATTTGAAATGGATCAGTATTGGGGGAAATCTGTGTGCGTAGCTAGGCAACCATACTGGATTAAAAATGCTGAGAGATGTAGACAAGAAGCCAGTTTGGTTTGGATCAGCGCTAGAATATTTCTTGATGAGATCTCAAGTGGGATCAATCCTGGGTAGTCCACAATAAAAGAGTACAGATGGTTCAGCCTGACCAGCCCAGACTGGATCAAGACTCTCCGAGAATACTGGCCTGGTTGAATTGGACAGGGATAATAACAGTAAATTCACATTGAGAAAACCTTGGGATAAGGGGCAAGATGGACCCTGATCTGTCAACCCAGTCTGACTGAATCTTGTGGAATATTCTGGGTATCTGTCTTCTCCTATATAGCTGTGCACAAATACAGAAACTCTCTGAAAAGTCACTTTAATACTATCTATGTAGCAAAAGCAAAACAAAGGAAGTTGAAACACTTATAAGCTAAATGGACAGATAGTACCACTACTTGTTTCCACACTGAATTTTAGTCACCATAGACAGTGAATATAGAACAGTCTGTTTTTTTATTTATAATTAGTTTCACTTTTTGGGTCTCTGCTGTTGTGTTTGTATTTTTAATGTTGGAAGTGATCTTTAGATCTCATTTTGCCTCCTCCCTATTTCAAAATGTTCTCGGCATGATGTTTTTAAATCTACTTTTAGGCTTAAACCTATGTTTTGTTTTGTAATATTTGACATTGTTCCTTTAAAGGAGGATTTTTCAAGTGTCTTTTTGCAAATATTGCAATTGCTTTTGCCTATAAATACATAGTTTTATTACAGTTCATCTTGGCTATTGGATGGGGCTGGGCTTGTCCTGGTGAAATGGACAGGAAGACAATAGAAGGGTTTTTCTTCGATCTTGCACCCAAATGAGTCTAGAAGCTCCTTGTCAGGGAAAGAAGCTGTGATGCCATTCTTGCTAGATCCCACCACCTGAATATGGGCAAAGCAACCTAAACTGATCTCTCATTGATATTCCAATCTCCTGGCTGTCCCCACAGGAAATACATAGAATTCTTAAGAACATAAGAATGGCCATACTGGTTCTGACCAGTGGTCCATCAAGTCCAGTATTCTGTCTTCCAAAAGTGGCCAGTGCCAGATGATTCCGAGGGAGTGAACAGAACAGGTCAATGTATTGAGTGATCCATCCCCTGTCCTCCAGTACCAACTTCTAGCAATCACAGATTTAGGGACACCCAGAGCATGGGGTTGCATCTCTGATCATCTTGGCTAATAGCTATTGATGGACCCGTCCTCCATGAACTTATCTAATTCACTTTGAGCCCAGTTATACTTTTGGCCTTCACAAGATCCCCTGGCAAGAGGTCCCACAAGTTGACTGTGCATTGTGTGAAGAATTCAGAGTAACAGCCATGTTAGTCTGTATTCGCAAAAAGAAAAGGAGTACTTGTGGCACCCTAGAGACTAACCAATTTATTTGAGCATAAGCTTTCGTGAGCTACAGCTCACTTCATCCGATGAAGTGAGCTGTAGCTCACAAAAGCTTATGTTCAAATAAATTGGTTAGTCTCTAAGGTGCCACAAGTACTCATTTCTTTGTGTGAAGAAGTACTTCCTTATGTTTGGTTTAATCCTGCTGCCTATTAATTTCATTGGGTGACCCCTGGTTCGTGTGTTATGTGAAGGAGTTAATAACATTTCCTTATTCACTTTCTCCACACCATTCATGACTTTCTAGACCTCTATCATATCCCCCCTCATTTGTATTTTTTCCAAACTGAACAGTCCCAGTCTTTTTAATCTCTCTTTATATGGAAGCTGTTCCCAACCTTTAATCACTTTTGTTTCACTTCTCTGTACTTTTTCCCATTCTAATATATACCAATCATGCTACTTTAGATAGCACAAAAGATATACAGACCTAGGCAAAACAATAAAATATCTATATGCATTTCCTTGCCTCAGTTTTCTCACTGCTTTTAGGTCTTCTTTGGGCTCAGGTCAGATTTGTCTAAGGCAGTGGTTCTCAACCAGGGATATGCATACCACTGGGGGTACATCAAGTCATCTAGATATTTACCTAGTTTTACCACAATCTACATAAAAAGCACTAGCGAAATCGGTACAAACTAAAATTTCATACAGTGACTTTTTTATACTGCCCTATATACTATACACTGAAGTGTAAATACAGTATTTATATTCCAATTGCTTTATTTTATAATATGGTAAAATTATAATTTGTCAGTAATAGTGTGCTGTGACACTTGAATTTTTAGGTCTGATTTTGTAAGCAAGTAGTTTTTAAGTGAGGTGAAACTTGGGAGTACGTAGGACAAATCAGCCTCCTGAAAGGCGTACGGTAGTCTGGAAAAGTTGAGAACCACTGCTCTAAGGAGTCTAAGAACAGCCCCCTACTACACATGGCTTCTCCTCCTAATCACCCAGTTGCCTTCTTCCTCTGCTGCTTTCACGGTTAAACAGGATCCCCTGCTCTGAAAGCCTGCCCCTCTCTCCTGCTTCCTCTTCCTTGCTCTGTGAGTTCCTTGAGTTTATAAGGGCTTGTCTGCATGGTGAGTTGCTGCACAGCAAGCCAGAGTGTGATGCTACAGCACACCCGCTTGCTGTGCAGTAACTCACTGTATAGACATGACTACTGTGCAGTGGGAGTCCTGGCATGTGGCTTAGTGTACTACTACTTCAGAGCACACTGTGCTAAGCCATGCTCTGGGACTTTCACTGCGCTGTAGTAATTTCATGGCAAATTACGGTGTGGCAACCTGGTGTGCTGAAGATTCACACCTTAGCTTGTGCAGTAACTTGCCGTGTAAATGAGCCCTTAGTCCTGCTACTAACATCTGCTTCCTTTGTTCTGCTGCTGGAGAAATTTCACTGCTACAAACCCCAGCTCACTAATGGAACCTGGAGAAAACGGCTTCCACTAGACTTTAGCCATCTCATTCTCTCTGGGCAGGTCTGTTCACTCGTAGGAGGCTCTTAGTGACTGTCACTTTCAAGGACAGACTTAGGACAGGGAACATGAGTTAAGAATATGGTAAATGGCTTAAGTATACAGAGTTCATAATATCAAACAAATTCCTTAATTGCACATACACAAGATTCCCTCAAATTGTCACCTCACCACTTTCTGTAGGACCTAAAATTGTTTTTACTTTCTCGCTTGTGTGGAAACAGGAACAGGATAACAGACACTGCTTCCAAACTATTCTGAAAACACAAATGAGCAAAGGTCATGTGGACATAAAGGTGCTGCATACAGTACACTAAAATTCTTGTTAAAGAAACAAGCTTTATCACATCTCTATATAATGTAAAAATTAGTACTTGAACTGTTCTGCTGGGCAGTCATTAAGTATTAGTTATATCACTGTTTATTACTTAGGGATCAGATGCCATTTCCATTCTAAATCTCCTTTAGAGGTGCAGGTAAAACAGTCTTCATTAAGCTAAAGCTTGGCAAACCTTAGGAGTGCATGGATTTTTCTAACGCACTAGACCATTCAAATAATATTTTGACAGACTGAGATTTCTTTTGTCTGGTGGTGCCAAAGAAGCTGCTGAGTTGATACAATCTTAAAAGAAAGCTGTTAAGGTCTTTTCCTAATAAGAAAGTTTCATAGATTTGTATCAGCATGAAAAACAATGTATTGTTACAATGTAAAACCTTATTTTTAAAATTTTTTTGTACTAAAAGAATAAAAAACATTCCAAAATAAGCATTTTATCTAAACTGATAGAGTAAGGAAAAAAAGAACTAAGGTGCCCATTATATCAAGGACTTCTTGGGCTTAGTACGGCACTTAGTAGTTTTTTAAGCACTGTAATTACTCCTGGGGGAATTCTGTGCCACTGCACATGCGCAGAATTTATGTCCCCCGCAAATGTGTTTGCTTCACTGCAGAAAAATGACTTTCTGACAGGAAAGCAAAGGGAAGCCACAAGAGCAGTCATCCTCACAGTATGTTTCGGGTCCCCAGGGCAGCCAGCAGAGAGGTAAATTACTGTGGGGCGGGGGCAGGACTGGGGAAGACCCAGCTGGTGGCTCCTACCCTGTGCCGGGCTTAGTTGCTAGTCCCAGCTGGGCTGGGGAGGACAGGACTTCATCTTCCCCTGCACAGCATCTAGGGCTGTGTCAGACCCACCCCCAGATTTCTCCACCAGCTGTAGGAAATTCTGTAAACTCCCCTCTCCTGCCCCCATGCTCCTTGCACCCATCGCTCCTCAGCTGCAGGGGGAGGGATCACTGGACAGGGAGCTGCTCCTCCATC